CAATTGTTTTACTCTGACACTGTTATTTTCTACCTCATCGAAGTCTTTTATAATTTTTTTCATATATCTCTGTACTTCTTCAGTCTTATTGTTGTAATCTCTCTCTACATCTTCAATAGCTTCATCAGTCACCTTCAATCAAATTTCTTCACAATTTTAATTCTTCTTTAAATAGTATATCTTTTTCTTTTAACTTGTCTCTTACATTTCTGTCTCTTACCTCTTGGCCTTCTTTTGATTTCCTGTCTTCTTTCCGTTCTTCATTTTCTTTGAATTTTGAGTTTATTTCTTCTCGATTTTCTTTTATTTTTCTATCTCTTTCTATGTGATCTAATTTTAATTTTTTGTTCTTTTTTACCCTTGGTCCACTTTTAATTGTTTCATTATCATTAGCAAAGCTTCAATCTCACTTCTGGACCTGGTTGCCATGTTGAAATTGAGCCATTGAGCCATTATATTTTGTTTTCATCAAAATAATCGCACATCTGATACCACTTTTGTAGTGTGTTCTATCACTTCCTTCAGAGCTTTAGATAAGGATGCATACTGCTATTCATGCATATTTTTCCTCCAAAAAACATTAAAAAATCAGATCTAGGCATACAAAAATGCTTTGAAAATCAGACAGTATAGATTCACTGTCTTTATCTGCCATAAATTTATGTAAGCTAATCGAGCACGCGTAACTGGTTTCCAGCTATCCAAGTAAATACAACACGCTGCTTCAATTTAAGTGGAACCAGTCAGTCTGATGCAGTCCGAGTGGGCAAAAACTTAGATTTTTATCGACTTTATCAAGCACTCATGATATATGGATGACAAAAATGTCGTCTCATCGACAGTTTAGTGTGCGACTAGAATGATTTAAGAAGAAATATGCAACAAATATGATCTTGCTCTGCAAATATTTCACTCGAGATGATAAAACTGAAAACAGTGCAAAGATTGGTTGCAAAATTGTTGATGATCTCATCATTTCTTGCACTGAACTTGGTGATCAAACAGCAAAGAAACACTCTGGAATTACTGTTTCTGAAAAGACAATTCAGTCTTGGAAGGAAAACAATTTCATGGTTAGTGGTGGTTGAAGAGGTAGATACGAGACTGAAGTGCAGCATTTGCATAGTGAGAAAAGTGAGAAGCATATGGACGGATGAGGGATCACCTAATATTCAGAAGAACAGTACTGAGAGGAATGGGTTGTCTTCAGAACACCAGCAAGCCATGAAAGGTTTACTGAAGGAATCTGAGGACAATAGTAAAATGTATGACAGTAGTGTAGACAAGGAAGATAATTCAATCTCTGTATCAGATGATGACAGTAAATTGTTTTGTACAATCTTCTATGTATGAAAAGAGGAGATGACATCTGATAAATTCAACAGTTTATTTGAGTTACAGAAGTTGAATGGAGCAGATATCAAATATAAGAATTTAAACTGTGTAACAAAAAATGATATATAGTCATGTATAAATAGTTATTCAGAAGTCACTTACAGAAGAAATCCTTCAGTCCGAGACATATGCAATACTGATAGATGAAAGCAGAGATTTATCAATACAGAAACATTTATCAGTATGTATAAGGTATGTGAAGAATGGTGAAGCGGTAACAAAGTTCTTGACACATGTAACCACTGACGATGGAAAAGCTCACACCATTGTCAGTCACCTGATAAAGTGCCTCACTAACCTCGGGCTTGACTCAGCTAAGATTGTTTCTCTAGCAACAGATGGTGCATCTACAATGACAGGTGTTGGTGTGCAGATGAAAAGTACTCCCCCTTTTCACTACATACCCATTGTATTGCCCATTGCCTAAACTTAACTGTGATGGATTCATTTTAAAAAGTTGGATACTCTCAAGACATTTAAAGATAATTTTAACTCTGTGTATTTTTAAATGAGTGGGTCAAGTAACTGTACTTCAAACTCAACAGTATTCAAAAACTGTTAGGTAAGCCTGAGTTTACAATAAAAGACCCACATAGCATAAGATGGCTTGGGCTTAAAAATTCTGTTGAAGCTGTGTATGAGAGTTATAACTCAGTCCTGGTTACTCTTTCAAATTTTGCTGAAGAGAAAAATGCTACTGCTCAATGTTTGCACAAATACTTTCAGAATATAAGAGAGTGATGCTAGATATTCATGATGTTCTTGCAATGCTTAGTGAGCAGTTACAAAAACAAAATTTGGTATTTAGTGAAATACAGCCATTGATGAAAGCAACAATAGCTTAGTTAGATTTTCTAGAATCAGGAGATGTAAATGCTGTAAAGAGCATGAGAGACTACATAGAACTTAGAGAAGGAGGAGGAAAAACTAGTGTTGTTATGAATGGAGAAAAACTTGAAAAGTATTCTGAAAACATTGAAAATGAATTGTCAGGCCTGAAAAAGAGGTAAAATTTAAGTATAAAAAAGAATTTATAAAACACATATTCAAAAAAGAAGACAGTGAGATTTTTAAAGACTTTAGCCTCCTGCTGGAACCAGTGGTGGTAAATTCAGCAGGTACTGGTAAAAGTGAAGAAGCTCTTGAGGTTCTTGAACTGTTCTACAGAACTGACCAAACAGTAAATTTTGTTCATGGCAGTCTCCTGGGGGAGGATAAACAAAGAGAAGAACAAAAACAAGTCAGCAAACTCTTGAACAAAGAAAAGCTCAAGCAAGAGTGGCCCATGCTAAAAGGTGTGATTTCAGGCTCATACAAATATTTACCAACACAGGGTCTGTGCCAGAGGGTTACACAAATGCCTAACAAAGAGATACCTGATTTTGCAAAGCTGTGTACAATAGCTCTATGTATATCTGTTACAAGTGTTGAGTGCAAAAGGAGTTTCAGTGCCCAAAATAGAATAAAAAACAAACACAGATGTTCATTGAAAGCAGAAACTCTAAACAGTCATTTGAATATTCAAATGAGTAATATTCAGTTATCAAATTATGATCCAGTTAGAGCAGTTAGGCTATGGGTTAGAAAAAAGAAAGAAGATAGGGACAGCTTTGTCAACCATACATGCTTAGGGCTAAGAAGCCAAAAGAGTGCTTCAGTTGTTGAACAAGTACAATACATAAGTTTAACATATAAATATGTTACAGACATTTAAGAAGTTTAACATGTAATTATGTGAAAGTTTTGAAGTTAAACAGTTAAAGTTCTTGGTAATCATGCACAGGAAGTGCCGGAATCTTTTAAATCAAGTCACAGTTCAGGGTATATTATTCAGCTGGTCATATCAGATTTTGAGCAGGCTAGTCAAACTACACAGACCAGTTTTGTGATATAGGACTGCAGGGGAGTACTTTAAGAAATAATGGCTTTTTTCTATCTTTAGACAGAAGACTACCTCTATGTGAAAAAACAATGTCAAGGTAACGATTTGTACATGTACCTTTTATACTTCTTACGGTACAAATATTTACATATTATAAAGCCTAAGCCTTAGACTTTATAATATGCAAGAAGAATTTGTACCATAAGGAGAAATAAAGATGGATTGTTTAAATACTCATTGAAATTTTGCTTTTCAGCATTGAGTTGGATTTCAGGGAGTAAATATTCATTGATCTAAAATCTTATCTAGAGCTCTGTTCCTTCCTTTGGCAAGTTATTTTAAATCATATGGTGAAAATAAAGCCAAGTACAGTCCACACAGTGATAACAAATTAGTTATTTCTCTTAACCTACAAGCTACTATCACTTGTACAGCTGTACTTATAGACCTATGTTAATAAATATTGTTTCACTTTAAAATTCAACAGAGATCTATCTACTCACTAATGGTACTTGGTACTATGACAAATACACAATAAACTTAATTGTACAATTTCATAGCTAATTTATCAAGTAACTGGATAAGCACAATAGCTAACTGATCCAAATACTTCACTGAAACTAAATATCTTACTGAATGACTGGCACTCTACCAACTGAAAACTAACTTGCACACACTGGATTTCATATTTAAAATGTAGCCTGGTTTCTACCCATTTCACAAAGTCTCTCAATCACCGACAGTCACAAACATTCTATGTATTCTAAAACTACTTTATAGACATACTTAATCTAAAATTATGCACCCTCTAGTTAACACCTAAATTAAAACATGGAAAATAAACCATAAGACAGTATGCTAACTACTGTGACTAATTGAAACTAAGGCAAAGTCAGCCACATGGCTAAGATCTTTGTGACCCAAGAACTAGCACTGCATATGTGAAGTTTAAACATCAGGACTTAGCATATATACTGAACAACTGGATGGATGATACTATTATAAATAGTTATTCCTATCTGTGCACACTATTACATAGTGTTACTACAGATATTTTACCATTGCCAATTTAAAACGAAGTTCTTTCCATCAGTATGAAAATATCCATTATTTCTAGATCTATGTAGAAGCTAAGATTCTGATACAAGCTTAAAATATATTAAATTTATTGAAAGCAAATAATAAACTTATTGCTACTTTTATTATACTGAATCATTGTGAATAGTTTTGCTATAACTTGTATACTTCAATGTTATATATTATCATTTCTAAAAGAGCAAGAGTGCCATGTTTCTCATAGAATGTTATATAATCTTACTAAACCATGATCAGCAGAGTTCAATCATAATAAATCTGTAATATTTTAGAATCTGGTTGATTATGAAGATTAAAATGTTATATAATCTTACTAAACCATGATCAGCAGAGTTCAATCATAATAAATCTGTAATATTTTAGAATCTGGTTGATTATGAAGATTAAAATAAAGGTGATAACCATCAAGGTGAGAATCTGCATTTGACGAATTTGGCACATTATTGTGCTCATCTCAGACTATCTTTTCATCCCAAATATTTTATTTGATTGAAGTGAAAAATACTATAACAGGTTCATCTTTAAAACACACTTCATTTTGTATCCTTTATAGGGTGAGAAGTAACCAAGTTTATTACCTTTATATTAGACTAAAATGAGGATAAACAAATTTATGAATCCAACATACCTTCTAGCAATAGCTGAAAGAGCTGACTCCAATTGTTTATTTGCACTCACACATATAACATAGTCCAAGATATAGATGGAAACAACTGGAATGAGTAGAAAGTTTGTTCTTGAAACAATATACAGAACTATTTACTAAATACTTAAATTAGAATAATTACTGAAAAAAAGGGCAGTTGCAACTAGAATTGATGATTGGTCTTAACCAAAAAACTTCTTCTCACATGAGAGATTCTGTCTAAATAAGTACATCAAAATGTGTAACTTTTCTTAGTATTGAAAATCACTTTCCATGTTTTGGCCCAAGAACCATGCCTGACAATTCTTTTTTTTAATTAAGAAAAAATAAATCAATAGAATCATCTCTTCCTATGTTCTTAGTATCATAAAATAAACAAGAGCAATTGTACACTCTCACCCCGCCACTCCTTTTCAAGATTGCATGCATTTATTTGGAATAACATGACGTTCCACCTTCTAAAACTTGGAAAATCCTTCTCAGATACAGAATGATTAATGATCCAGATCTATTTTTTATTGTGTGATGAAAAGTCTCAACCTTAACGTGCCCAGGAAATTTGGTACAAATCTGATCACACTTTACAGAATTATTAACTGAAAACCAAGAAAATGGTCCATCTCCCCACTATATAAATGCTTTAAAGTGATTCAGAATCCGGACCCGGACCAAATTTGGGAAGTACTGTCACATACTAACTTCCCATCTTGTGTAAAAGGTTCGTGTACATCAGTCCATTCATTTTTGAGATACTCACAGGGAAATACAGACACATAGACCCAACTGCAATACCCTAATCCTGTGAGGGTAAAAACGAATAACAAAAGACACAAAAGCAACACATGATGGACTACACCAGAGGCATTCCTGGCTATAGGAAGGGTCTTTTGGGATTCGGGCCTGAGAAGCAATTATCTTATGTGAGAGATGGTCAGTAAACTTATGGAATGTTTTAGACTTGATTTATGAAAAAGAATCACTAGAAACTTCATAGATCTGTTTGCTTTTTTCTTGTCAAAATGAGTATGCAGTAGTTTAAGAAACATGTTTTCTTTTACTTTACTATAGTTCTTTTGTTCAGAGCTCTGACCTTGTAGTCCAGCACTCAGTAATACCCATGTACTCCACTATTCACATTCTCCCAATGAGAAAACTGTCCACTTATTACTACCCTTTGCCCTCCATATGTACACTAAGCCAATTTTCTATCAGATCCTTAACTTTTTTCAACTTTGTAATTAAACTTTTATGTGTGTCTTAATAAAGGCTTTCTGAAGGTCAAGATACACAACATAAATTTGGATTCCTTCATCCAAAAACTGGATGTTCTAATAAACTCCAACATTTTTAGAAATCCCTTTTTTTAATTTTGCTTAAAATCAGAATCATTAATTATTGTTTTAGATTCTTTAAATGACTTCTGAATATAAATTTCAATACTTGGCAATTGTTCCATCATCACAAATTATCCACTTCAAAAGATAAAAATAAGAGTTAAAGCTCCTCCTATTAATTGGTTTAAGTTTCTTCAAGGCTTTATGATAAATTTCATCAGGGATGGCTGCTTTATTCTTAACTTTTAAATCTTTTCTAAAACAGCTTCTTCAGCAAAAATACAATATAGAGAATTTCCTCTCTCTACTTTTCTTAAAAAACAAAACAAAAGACAGAGACCACAACTATTTGTTGGCTGGCCATATGAACAGTCAAGAGACTATCTACTGAAAAAGATGAAAGAAAGAAAACTTTTTTTTTTTTTCAATATTACTAATCAGAAGGTTTTCCATTTTATATCAAGCAGGCAGTAGCAGTGCCTATGTAGGGATGGCCTGGATTGTTCATTGAAATGGTATCTTAAGTATCTCCCCAATAGGTCATCAGAACTTTACAATATATAGTGTTTCCTTTTATAACAATATCTACGTATTGACTGAGTAACAAGTTCTGGGAATGTCTGTAAATATCATAGCAAAAATTTTGAATTTTTTGTTCTTCTTTCTGCTGCTTTTTTTTGTTACATGATAACTCAAAAACAATGGTTTCAACCAATTTCATTGAGGTGATATAGTCTCAAACACGAATACCCACTTTTATGAGTATTATTAACCAGTAGTAATGAAATAAAAACTATAAATTCTAGTGTAAATAATGTTAT